ACAAATACTTTTATGACCTAGGTATACTGTATAGACAATGGTATATCTTGAGGTTATCGTGAGATGATATCGGGGTTTAGCGTCCCCGCGGCCCGGTCCTCGACCAGGCCTCCTTTTTGTTACGTACTTCCAGGAAGCAGCCCGTAGCAGCTGTCTAACTCCCAGGTACCTATTTACTGCTAGGTGAACAGAAATGAAACTCTGGGTGAAAGAAACGCGCCCATTTGTTTCCGCCTGCCGGGGATCGAACCCGGAACGTTAGGACTACGAATCCCGAGCGCTGTCCACTCAGCCGTCAGACCCCCTGGTAAGTTATATCTATAATATAGTCACCCTTGTATGCTAGGCTTCGTTCTCGATTCACACTCATTAATCCCTGGTTCAATTCCTTAGGTGGACAGAAATGGTTGGACACGTTTTCTTTCACCTAATGAATCTGTTCACCTAACAGTAACTAGGTTCCCGGGAGAGAGGAGGGGAGGGAAATATCAGGGGAAATCGCCAAGCCATCTCGACTATATAGCACTGGAAAGGGGTCAGGATCAGGATTTGGGATGGGACGGAGGGAAGGAATAGTGCCCAACCACTTGGACGGTCGGAGATTGAACGCCGACCTGCATGAAGCAAGATCGTCGCTCTACCGTCCAGCCCAAGTGGTTGGGCTAGGTACCCGAGTTAGTTAACTGTTGTGGTGGTGGTGGTGGTGGGGGGGGGGGTTGTTCCAGTAGATGATCAGCAGTTCGGCCTTGGGAGATCTCGATACAAGTCTAAAGTGTAAGTAATATATACATATTACTACACAACAGGTTGTAAACACACACTTCAGGCTCGAACCCAAGTCCTCCAAAGGTCAAATTGCTGACCTTCCCCCAGGATACTCCCCCACTACAATCCCCAAGGCATAGATCATTTAGTTTAATTTATTTTATATATATATATATATATATATATATATATATATATATATATATATATATATATACACACACAAGAAGGTATATTGGGTTTATGACAATACATAGCATTGATGTTTTTACATTCTTGTAAAACCACTAACACGTATAGCGTTTCGGGCAGGTCATTGATCTAACAGATAATTTTAAGTAGCTAATTTCCAGCAAAATTGAAAAAAATGTCTCATCTTCAGAAGGATATAGCTGCTCTGGAGAACGTGCAACACCGGGCAACAAAAATCCTCCCAGAGCTAAGTCATCTCTCGTATCAGGGACGGTTGAGGCCACAGGGATAAGTCATCTCTCGTATCAGGGACGGGTGAGGGCCACAGGGATAAGTCATCTCTCGTATCAGGGACGGGTGAGGGCCACAGGGCTAAGTTATCTCTCGTATCAGGGACGGTTGAGGGCCACAGGGCTAAGTCATCTCTCGTATCAGGGACGAGTGAGGGCCACAGGGCTAAGTTATCTCTCGTATCAGGGACGGTTGAGGCCACAGGGCTAAGTCATCTCTCGTATCAGGGACGGGTGAGGGCCACAGGGCTAAGTCATCTCACGTATCAGGAACGGTTGAGGGCCACAGGGCTAAGTCATCTCTCGTATCAGGAACGGTTGAGGGCCACAGGGCTAAGTCATCTCTCGTATCAGGGACGGGTGAGGGCCACAGCGCTAAGTCATCTCTCGTATCAGGAACGGTTGAGGGCCACAGGGCTAAGTCATCTCACGTATCAGGGACGGTTGAGGGCCACAGGGCTAAGTCATCTCACGTATCAGGAACGGTTGAGGGCCACAGGGCTAAGTCATCTCACGTATCAGGAACGGTTGAGGGCCACAGGGCTAAGTCATCTCTTGTATCAGGAACGGTTGAGGGCCACAGGGCTAAGTCATCTCACGTATCAGGGACGGTTGAGGGCCACAGGGCTAAGTCATCTCTCGTATCAGGAACGGTTGAGGGCCACAGGGCTAAGTCATGTCACGTATCAGGAACGGTTGAGGGCCACAGGGCTAAGTCATGTCACGTATCAGGAACGATTGAGGGCCACAGGGCTAAGTCATGTCACGTATCAGGAACGGTTGAGGGCCACAGGGCTAAGTCATCTCTCGTATCAGGAACGGTTGAGGGCCACAGGGCTAAGTCATGTCACGTATCAGGAACGGTTGAGGGCCACAGGGCTAAGTCATCTCACGTATCAGGGACGGGTGAGGGCCACAGGGCTAAGTCATCTCTCGTATCAGGAACGGTTGAGGGCCACAGGGCTAAGTCATCTCTCGTATCAGGGACGGGTGAGGGCCACAGGGCTAAGTCATCTCTCGTATCAGGAACGGTTGAGGGCCACAGGGCTAAGTCATCTCTCGTATCAGGGACGGGTGAGGGCCACAGGGCTAAGTCATCTCACGTATCAGGGACGGGTGAGGGCCACAGGGCTAACAACACTACAGACCAGACATGACAGGCCGGATATCACTGAAACCTTTAACATACTGAACAATTTGGAAGGTGTTGATCCGGACAAAGTCTTCAGAAGATCAGATGTAACACGAACGAGGAGCAGCGGGTTCAAGCCCAACAAGCCACAATTTAGGGCAGAAAACATGAGATGCTTTTTCACCTATAGGGTTGTAAACCCGTGGAACCGCCTACCCGCCGAAGCCCTAAACTCCAAAACACTGTTGGGTTATAAAATACAAATATTAAAGATAATCCAGGCAAATAGGGGGGACCTTTGACAAGCCGCCAGCTTCCTGCCCTCGCCGAGGCCACTAGTATTAGTGGCCCTCAGAGAAATTCAGGTAAATATATGTGCTATACTAGGCCTAGGAATATTTACGTTTTTCCTCGGTTGCAACTCACAACAGTTGCCCCAACTCCTGGGGGATTGATCCCGGTATTCTCGAGTGTGAGTCGAAGACGTAGACCACTGCACTACACGACATGCTAGTCAGTTGCTGACGACACACAGGGAAGTACCAATCAACACTCTGATGGGTGAAGCTCATCAGTGTTGACACCTGTGTGTTTACGCCTCCGAATTGTGCTCACTAGATTCACGAAGCAGTTGCGCCAGTACTTATAACCGTGTACATCTTTCCTCAATCTTTGACAGCTTTAGTAACATTTATTAAACAGTTTACAAGCATGAAAACTTGCCAATCAACAGTTGTTATTGTTATAAACAGCCTCCTGGTGCTTCGGAGCTCATTAACTGTTTAATAACTGTAAACAAAGCCGCAACAAATTGAGAAAAGATGTAGGGGTTCGTAAGGGATTGCGTAACTGCTTCGTGAATCTGGCCATCATATGCTGCTTTACTTCCGAGAAACAAAACGTTATGGAAATTCAATTAAAAATGATTTGTTTGTTTCGGTTGTGCTGCACTCTAGGAGGGTGATGGCTGTGCTTCACTCTAGGAGGGTGATGGCTTTGCCTCACTCTAGGAGGGTGATGGCTTTGCCTCACTCTAGGAGGGTGATGGTTGTGCTTCACTCTAGGAGGGTGATGGCTGTGCTTCACTCTAGGAGGGTGATGGCTGTGCTTCACTCTAGGAGGGTGATGGTTGTGCTTCACTCTAGGAGGGTGATGGTTGTGCTTCACTCTAGGAGGGTGATGGTTGTGCTTCACTCTAGGAGGGTGATGGCTGTGCTGCACTCTAGGAGGGTGATGGCCGTGCTATACACTAGGAGGGTGATGGCCGTGCTATACACTAGGAGGGTGATGGCTGTGCTGCACTCTAGGAGGGTGATGGCTGTGCTGCACTCTAGGAGGGTGATGGCTGTGCTATACTCTAGGAGGGTGATGGCTGTGCTGCACTCTAGGAGGGTGATGGCTGTGCTGCACTCTAGGAGGGTGATGGCTGTGCTGCACTCTAGGAGGGTGATGGCTGTGCTTCACTCTAGGAATGACATGGCTGTGCCTCACTCTAGGAAGGAGATGGCTGTGCCTCACTCTAGGAAGGAGATGGCTGTGCCTCACTCTAGGAAGGAGATGGCTGTGCCTCACTCTAGGAAGGAGATGGCTGTGCCTCACTCTAGGAAGGAGATGGCTGTGCCTCACTCTAGGAAGGTGATGGCTATGCCTCACTCTAGGAAGGAGATGGCTGTGCCTCACTCTAGGAAGGAGATGGCTGTGCCTCACTCTAGGAAGGAGATGGCTGTGCCTCACTCTAGGAAGGAGATGGCTGTGCCTCACTCTAGGAAGGTGATGGCTATGCCTCACTCTAGGAAGGAGATGGCTGTGCCTCACTCTAGGAAGGAGATGGCTGTGCCTCACTCTAGGAAGGAGATGGCTGTGCCTCACTCTAGGAAGGAGATGGCTGTGCCTCACTCTAGGAAGGAGATGGCTGTGCCTCACTCTAGGAAGGTGATGGCTATGCCTCACTCTAGGAAGGAGATGGCTGTGCCTCACTCTAGGAAGAAGATGGCTGTGCTTCACGATGGCTGTGAAACTCGGTGACAAAATTAAAAAAAAGCTTATTATTATTATTAACATCTTTATTGACAAAATTAATTACAAAGCTGGCTCAACAACACATGCTGGCAGGCCAAACTGTCCTCTTAAAAAGAACGTCGCTTTTGGCTGTTTGCCCGTATGGCCAAATATGGACGTAATTTGAAAATGAAAATAAATTTGGGATTTTTTTTTTCAACAACAGTAAGTTATGGGTCCTCTGATAGGTTAGGTGCGCAGGAAATTCTCATAAAGTTTCAAAACGGTATGAAAAACGTTAATGGAAAGTTGCCACTTCTAACCTTGCAGAGTAAGCCGGACGACTCAAACAGAAAACGGAACAGTATGTCACTTTTGTGAGTCGATTTCATTTCAAATTACGTCCAAATTTGGAGATAGCGCGCATACCAGCGAAAAGTGACGTTATTTTTAAGAGGACGGGTTGGGCAGGCAGCAGTGAAGAATGAAGTGGGTTAGAGCCAAGGCAGTAAACAGAATTGTTGATTAGAGAAAGTATTTCTTCACATATTTTTTTATCATTAATTCATATGGCTCAATCCTAGAAACCATAAAAGGTAATCACATCACAGTAAAACAATAGGAAGCAGGAAATTTTTATTGTATTCACATCTGTTTCAACTCAAAATTACATGAAAATCAAGATACATGGTAACTACTGTATTTATTTTCAGCCAAAAATAAGCCATACATTTGTGTGAGCAATATTTGGATACAGATGGAGGCAAATTTTACAGATGAAAAGTTTAACTAACACTGATATGATATAATGAAACATATTTACCTCCAGAGACATGGCTTAACATTCCTATTACAATGTTTTGATAATATTTAAGATGTAAATACATCAAGGGGAAACTTCATGAAACAAAGTTCAGGCATTTCTGGGAGATTACTGTTTTCCAGATGTACTGTATTAACATTTTTCCATTGCCCAGCAAGATACTTACATTAATGAAGCATTTACCAGACAATTTGATCTCGGGCAATTATTTTATGGGAGAAAATTACATTTATACACAGCCAACTTGTTCACTTAAATTATATGTCATCATTGCACCATCTGCTCATCCATAAGTTTAGCAACCCATTCAGGATGAGCTGTATTGATTTTCTCAATTATTCCGTTCACTTGGAAACAAAGAGACTGGATCTGCTTGTCCCATTGTGGAAGAACATCACGAGCTTCAAAGTGCAAGATTCCATCAATCTGTAACAAAAAGGTAACAATTCTGTAAGTAAGTAATTATCAAAAGAAGGCACCAAACTGGGAAGGCTATGTAGCACCATCAAATGTGCGGAATAATCAGAGGGTGCTAAATATCACCAAGGATGCCAATACGAGAACAAAAACGCATTTAGGCGAACGATATCAAAAGTATCCAAGTCACAAAGAATTCTACTGAGGGACAGGTGACCGCGAGGGGCGGTCAACAATTCTGTAAATAAATGGAAGCATTCAGAGAGTGGCTTATTTCATCACTCCATACTGGTTCTACTAATATGCAGGAATTGTAAAAATACAGTGCAACCTTGATTCTGTGAACTATATGAGGCCAATCATGATTTAATGGAGTGAGGGATTCATTGCAACCGAAGATACCTTCAGGAAGCATTTGTGAGATGTAATTTTTATTAAAATAAGAACCTATTTTCATGCATTGCTTCACCTGTTTCTTCCTTCTAATGTTGCTTCCTTCTACAAGTTACCAATCATACCCTAATATTTCCCATGCTCTATGGGCTAATTTAACCAAGTGAAATTTTAATGTCAACCTATCTCATGATGGACAACGACCAAGAGAACATGTCGGTGAAGAGATTTGACCACATCCAGCATATTTCTCATGCCCAAGCCTCTAAACCTCATTTTCAAAGAAAGTGTGTGTGTTGCAACCAGAGATTTGCCAATATGAGATTCATTGAATTGAAGTCCCACCGTAATACAAAATCTAAAAATAGTAGTACTGTACTACCTCTTGAACAACCCCCTGTATGACCTGATGTGTTTATAATAACACATTGCTATTATGTAATGTATGTGTTTGTAATAATCAAGCAATACTGTGCTTTAGATAACTGCAAATTCAGTATGGCCTTACATATAAATTATATATAGGTAGGTGTACAGTATTGAAATCAAAACAATATAGGTAGCAAGACCACAGCTAGACTGTGGAAATGATTCAGAATACCTGAACCACACATACATACCTCTAGGAAAGCGTGACCACAGTGTGGATCAATATATGATAGTAATAGATAAAATAAAACAAAAGCCTAAGCATATTAACATAATCAACTCAGAAAGTAAGAAGATATCACACACATACACTTAAACTAAATTTATAAATAATGGGAGGGAATTATCAGGGAAGTGCCAAGCTATTACAACTACATAGCACTTGGAAAGGATAAGGATTAGGGATGGGACAGGGGGGAGGTGGATGGGAAGGAATGGTGCCCAACCACTTGGACAATCGGAGATTGAACTCAGACCTGCATGAAGCAAGGCCGTCGCTCTACCCTCCAGCCCGAGTGGTTGGGCTGGAGGGTACTTTCCTTATAAATAAGGAAAGTTTGTAAGTATTAAAAGAAGAAACCAGGCCTCAGTTTCCACAGAGCCTCTGTCTCAATATGTTAAGGCACTGTCTGCATGTTGTCTTCCCATCACAGTTGATCACCTGCATTTTGGGTGTTGTGGGTGTAAGGAAAGTGGTGCCTGCCAAATGCAGGTCATCAACCATGACGGGAAGACTACATGCCAGACAGTGCCTTAACATACAAAGACAGAGGCTCTGTGGGAACTGGGGGTTTAACCCTTACACTGTTCCAATTGCTATCTGCATTTTTTCCCCATTTGAGCACCTTGATGTAGTGCTTTTAAATATCTGCACAGATTAGGTGTTAAGTAGTTTTTCATAACATGGCCAATCTGTCCCTAGCAACCTCTGGTAGTGTGAGGCTCAAGTTTGTATGTAATTACTCTCCAGTTTTGCACATAAAACATCCAGGAATGTTAGTCGTACATGGCTCGGAATTACATTAACACAATTACTGTTGTCTGGGGACAGAAAACCTGTGTTTAGGCTCATCAAGGTTTTCCTGTCAACAAATGACCTTCCCCAGGATCTTCTTTCTTTGGAACATCATTTGGCTAACTTCACCCAGGAGCTAGACAATAGATGTCTAACTCCCGAGTACCTATTTTATTGCCAGGTGAGAGAAGCATCAGGTCAAAGGAAATGTGTCCAACCATTTCTGTCCCACCTGGGGATTGAACCCAGGACCATCCACCGAGACTCAAGAATGTAGACTGTTGTACTACATAACAACAGCAGATGGATCTGGTGATTTAAACCTGAAGAAAATCCAACCAAAGCATACTCAATTTACTGGCTGGACACGGAGCAGAAATAATTGAAACAAACTACAGCAAAGCCCATATGGTATTCTCTTAATAAAAGCACATGATAAAATGAACAAAATTTATATAGTTTCTAAATCTGTTAAAGGGGTTTGTTTAAGAGTTTTTTTTTTTTTTAGTTTATACATGATTAAAATCAGCATGTAATATGATTTTCTCCAACATTCATCTTTGATTCTGATAATTGAGCAGAGTAATCTCTGATATATCCTGAAATGTGTACGTTCGACTGTAAAAAATAATTACTGTAATTTGGTTTATGTTTTCATTGGAACTCACCATGGTTTATTTCCTACAAGTTCTTTATCAAAGTAGATTGTACTCCTACAAACTCTGATAAGTACTGTAGCTCCTCCTTTCATGCAAATTATGATACAGTAGTATTTTGTTATTGGCTTAAGTAAATTTGTAATAATCCAAGCTGAAGTGTTATAAAGTGTAAGTAAACTTGTTCACTTACCTGGTCTATGTAACCGTTCATTCGACCCTCCGTGATCATCTGGCTGGCTATTTTTTCGGCCTTGGCTGGTGAAATCTGAAGCAGCGCTCCCAACTCCGGGAATGTAATATTGTTATAAAGTTTGCTGGCAGCTAGCAAATTATGCTCTGTGACTGCTCTGTCCAAGATAGTAGAACCTGAAATATAAATGTATCATATAACTTGTTTTACGTACAGCAAAGAACATTTAATCTGCCTCTACATTCCTACTCTGAACATTTTAAATTCATGAAAAATGCTTAAATTCAAAGAAAATATAAAATATACTATACAGTAAAATGAACAAATTCACAAAGGTTATGATGAGGGTTCGCATCTGGGAATATCCTGTGTGTAGGTTCGAACCCTCATCACGGCCCTTGTAGATTTGTTCATTTGATATTTGTTCATTTGATATTTGTTCATTGTTCATTTGTTCATTAATTTGATTTGTTCATTTCATGAGATTTGTTCATTCAGCATGAAGATTACCTCTGCTGAAGACATTCAAAAACTACAAGCAGATGTCAACAAAGTTTTCGATTGGGCAGCAGAAAATAACATGATGTTTAACAATGATAAATTTCAGGTACTCAGGTACGGCAAAAATGAGGATCTGAAACATAATACAGGGTACAAAACACAATTGAATCTTCCCATAGTAGAAAAACAGCATGTCAAGGATTTGGGAATAATGATGTCCGACGATCTAACGTTTAGGGAGCATAACCAAGCAAATATCGCGTCAGCCAGAAAAAATGATCGGATGGATTACGAGAACTTTCAAATCCAGGGATCCCATCACAATGGTTGTACTCTTCAAGTCACTTGTGTTGTCCCGTCTCGAGTACTGCTCAGTACTCACTTCCCCCTTCAGAGCAGGAGAGATTGCTGAAATAGAGGGAATACAGAGAACATATACAGCATGCATAGACGAGATAAAACACCTAAATTATTGGGATCGTCTCAAAGCTCTCCAAATGTACTCCCTAGAAAAGAGACGAGAGAGATACCAAATAATATACACATGGAAAATACTGGAGGGGCCAGGTCCCAAATCTACACAGCAAAATAACAACGTACTGGAGTGAACGATATAGAAGAAAATGCAAGATTGAACCAGTGAAGAGGAGAGGTGCCATAGGCACAATCAGAGAGCACTGTATAAACATCAGATGTCTGCGGTTGTTCAATGTCCTCCCAGCGACTATAAGAAATATTGCCGGAACAACCGTGGACATCTTCAAGAGAAAACTGGACTGTTTTCTAAGAGAAGTTCCGGATCAGCCGGGCTGTGGTGGGTATGTGGCCCTGCGGGCCGCTCCAAGCAACAGCCTGGTGGACCAAACTCTCACAAGTTGAGCCTGGCCTCGGGCCGGGCTTGGGGAGTAGAACTCCTAGAACCCCATCAACCAGGTATGATATAGCACGCTATTGGAATTTGTGTATACTATACAGTACTTTAAACTAGAGAAAACACTGATAATCATGACTGATTCTTTATTGCAGACTGATTTAGATCTACTGAATTGAGATACCAGCTCATTTATCATCACCAAACAGCTACAGATGCCAGGCCCATACTCTTGTTCAGAAAAGCCAGACATCTACATATATGAATGGAAGCTAAATTTTACAAATACTTGCCATCAGATGTGGTAGCTTGCTGATGAGGTTGTAGCATTTTCTGAAACTCTGTAAGCTCATTATGGCGGATGATACGGTCAAGGTGCATCTTCTCTAGGATGTGATAGCACGGCAACTTCTGACAACGCTCATCTTTGAACAGGGTTCCAAGCATCCTTGACCGTTGCTGTCCTAGCAACAAATATTTAAAGATCATTTTTAACATGATGAAACGGAATACAGTACAGGTATTTAATTTCTTTAATTTAGTAATCTGCCAACTCTTCGATTCCCACCCTAAAGCCTTAAAGGTAAGCATGAATATGCAGTAGATGGAACAGTCATAAGCTATATGATACTGAATACCCTAATACCCAAAGCCAAAATTATGAGATCAAAGTTTGAATATCAAAGTTGCAAAGCAAGAATTTTATGAGACATTCGTACGGTAATAAATGCTTACTGATATATCACAACAGGAAGCTAAGGATATGCATTACCTGCAGATGCTAGCACTGTACAAATCAAAGCCTTTTTTAAAGCTTCCATTCTTTCATCCTCATGAATAATTGGCCGATAGGAAAGCTCATTATATCGCTGTGCTGCTTCTATGAACTTGCGACGGTAATCTAGGACTCTTGCATAGCATACTTTGTAGTAGATCTGCAGTTGTTCATTCTTTGATTCTGCCTGCAAAAAAATATTACCAGTTTTATGTCAAGAATGAGCATCTGTATAAGAGCAAAATAATTATTTTATTTGTTTCTTATTAAAAATGACAAGTCATTTAAGCATAGGTAAAAACAGTTCTTGTAAAATCAAATTGCACTTAACTTAAATCCTAATTATGAAACATGTCCTGTTGATCTTTTTATTCTGCTAATTGCATGTTAGCCTAGAATGCTTTAGCTATGCACTAAGCTTATTTCAAGAACAAATTAAATGTAAAGCCTAAAGTAGAATATAACTTTTTGTAAGTTCTGAATACACATATACAGTATAAGCCATAAACTGAACTGAGCCCTGTGACAAACCTGCAAGATGCTGGCACGGTTGATATATGCTTCACCCTGCACTGGATCATCGTCCTCCAGGTAGAGACGAGCAATCTTGAGATATGTCTCCAGTTTATAGTCCACACTATACTGCCTGCAAAACAATAACAACAAAAAATACAAAGGAAATTCTATACCTGTACAGAATCCTTTCCAAAATTATGCTTTTTCATATACCTGTACCGTACTGAGCATGGCACACTTCTGAGTTGGACTCCATGAAGGATACAGAAGTCAGGACAAAGCTAAAATTAAGATAGGAAAAATTAGTGAATAGAGTAAAGGACACACCAGAAGGCACTAGTTGGCTGTACAAGAGATGTATACAGAGAGGTATGTGAGCACAGAGATATCAGGGACTCGAGGGTGGTACCGAAGTATCTGCATGTCTTACTTATAATAAACTTTGATATTCATTCATAAAAATCAGAAAATATGCATCCAAGTTACTCTATATGAAAGTAAAGTAATACATTTGATACTAAACTATGGAAGGAACACAGTATTTAGCAACTGATTAATTTTAACATAGTAGCTTGCATAAAGAATAAGAATTTTATCAACTGTAGATGGCATAAAATAATTCATTTACATTTATCAGATTTGATAAATAATAGAAATGAGATCGAGACATTTGCATACAGTATTATCAATTTAATGTCAACTACTATATTTATATCAAATATACTAGGTACTGCTTCTTAATGCATAATTCCAAATACAACAAGTATTGTCATCAAAACTTTGAAGTGAAAAACCTATTTTAATCTGAGTGCTTAATATGACCTACTTCTGTCCAGTTTCTAGAGGAATTCCTGTGAGAACTGCTGCTGCATCTCTCCATGAACTCTCCCGCTCATAGATGTCAGCCAGGTGCTGTCTAATGCTTGCCACCTGCTCTTCAAAACTAATAACACGTGGCTGGACCTGATATGATTGAAATACAATATGTATTTAGCAATATTTTGTTAATCTATGTCAACATATTGCTATATAACCAGAACAAATTTCTTATAACTAGCTAACATTTTTTATATTTTATTTCTATAGACAAGAGTTCTTATGTAAAGCCACTATCACGCATAGCTTTTCAGCAGGTCTTTAATCTTAATTTTACCTAGAATACAACCCGCCAAATCATTTAACAACCTGATACCCATTCACTGCTGGATGACCAGAAGCGTACAGTTAAGGATTGGCACCTAGTCAATCCTCCCCGGCCAGGATATGAACCCAGGCCAACTTTTTCAACTGGGCCCCTCACTTGATACTATTAAGAGTCTGGGTCCTCCCAGGGTACTATGAACACACCAGGCTCTAGCTGATTTTTCCCTCACTGAGCAAAGTTACTTTGCAAGTGATCTATCTTGTCATGTAGTTAGGGAAGAGATATACATAGAGTCACCTCAGTACACCACCAGACAACTGTTCTGTACAGTACAAGACAAAAGAGTAAAGATAATCTACTCAATACCTCCTGGAAGTGATTGTTACAGGCATGAGAAAAACTTATTGTGGCCCTATTAACTGCAAGTTTGTAACTAACCCTTACAATGACTAATTGTACAGTCTTATTACAAAAACTGTGCGATGTTATCACAAATGGGTCACTGGCCCCCATTAACTGCCTGGTGGTTCATCTGTCTGCACCCAGCTATTCAGAGACAGTTTCATTTACATAGACTGGTTGTTCTTTAAGACTTTCTTCTCAGTACAGTGTACCATGCTTTAGTGTTTGCATCCATAGCATGCTATAGTACCCAATTACTTTTACTACTATAATCATCTGCTTCAGTTTGGTTACAGGGTTGTCTTCCTGACATTCATTCTCAAAGACTTACAGCCCTCAAAGTTATCTTCTCAGGTATTATTGGTATAGTCTTCAACATGATTCAATTCCTCTTGAGTTGTGCAGCTACCTTGGCAGTGCCTTTGGTACTTTGTCAGGGGTGTATGATGATGATATACAATATATCTAAAAGTTCAAAACTCAATGTGAAATTTTAATATTAAGAGTAGCTTAATGTATATTATAGTACATTACAGTATTGAAATTACCTTTTTATATATTTCTCTCTGTAAAAAATTACTGAATATCAATACTTTAACTTTTTAAAGACTAATTTACTTAACTTTTATGAAAGTCTGTAATGTGTACTACACTTACTTTATCAAGTGTAAAGTGTGCAACTGTCTTTGCAACATTATCCGCCATGGAAGTGAGTTGTGTCGAGACATCTGACAGAAGTTGCCGCGAGATTACTAGACTCACGGTCTCCTTTACAACTGAAACACATAAAACTGTTTTTGTCAAGTTATTCTAATAGACTATTAATTTTTTATCAAATAAAATATATTTCTTTTATGTTGTTAGATCACTAATTATTTACTGCATGTTCAAATGTTTTTATAAATCAATAAATAAAAACTGTCACACTTACTTGCTTCAATAAATGCCTGGAGGCCTTCTGCCATGTCATTTTCATTGCCAACTTTAAGAATGGAGTCAAGGACTGCCCGATATCTAAAAGGCAATCATAGTTAATTACCAACAAGAACTTGAAAATGTGTTGCAAATTAAGGGTCTGAAACTGGAATGACCTTCCAAATGAGATTAAAATCCGTACTTCTCTTAATCAGTATAAAAGAGAAAGTAAGACATACCTAATTAACATTATATAACTAACTTTACTCACATTTCCTCATCCTACATGTCAACCTGTCTTGCTGTTATTGTCAACATTAATTACTATATTGTTGTTGTTGTTGATTGTGGGGTGACAACTGGCTGCCCGATACCAGGAAATAGCAAAGCTGGATTGGATCCCTTAATTAATTACTACAATATATTTGTACTGTTGCTAAAAACTGTCATTTCTAAATATCATTTAAAATTATAAATCATTTGCTAAATCCCTTTAATAATTATAAAATGAATTACTATATAATATGGCAAAAAAATGGTTTCTAAATAGACTTAATATACATAAGAGTAGCTTTATGTAATGTATATTTCTTACTAATTCTCCACTATTTTATGTAACAAATGTATGTACCTGTACAGTACTTTTATATAAATAAAACATTATTACTACTTTATTATTTATATCTTCACCAAGAACTAAGTTTGTAGGTGCTGTTAATAAACAGCTCAGTAGAAATTCTAGCCCAAAATTGAAAAATATAATGACCAATACTGATGTCACACTCCCAGCAAACAGATCCTATGCTAATCTCTAATATTTAAAATACAAATTCTAAAATTTCTTGATTTGTTATGTAAGACTGGGTTATGTTTGGATGCAGCATAGGTGTGGAGTATATGACTCTTAAGTTGGAGTACATTCAAATTGTATACAAATTTTGTATATGGCTTATTTGGTAATGATTAAAACTGCAGATACCATTAGATTAAATGAACAAATCCACAAGGGCCGTGATGAAGGTTCAAACCTACGTCCGAGAGCATTCCAGACGCTGCCTTAATCGACTGCTTTAAGTCAATTAAGGCAAATGATTTGTTCATTTGATGCATCACGCTATTGTGATTTCTGTGTGTAATACCATTAGATTAGTCTGGATTATATTAGATTAGCCTAGGCTAGGCTAGGCTAGGTTAGGGTAGATTAGGCTAGGCTAGATAGCATTCAGGCTTAAAGTTTAGTGCTCAGACTGGGTGGTCATTCAGGGCTAGGTTGGACTAGGTGCATTTTAAAATTTGTTGGTTATCTTATTACAAAATATAAAGTGTCCTGGACCCAACACACTCCTCATAATATTATAAAGTACTGTACAGGTAGCTTCTACCCATATATATATATTATAAATCACAAATACAATACTGTATTACAAGAAATATAATCAAATCTGCAGATGACACTAAGATTTATGGTAAAGTGGGAATTGAAAATGATATAGAGGCCTTATATAAATATCTAAATGAACTCCACAAATGGTGACTAATCGTACACAATCCTTTCGGCAAAACTCAATACGTGAACAAATTCACAAGGGCCATGACGAGGGTTCGAACCTACGTCCGAGAGCATCCCAGACGCTGCCATAATCGACTGAATGCTCGAGTTGTTACCTAGCAGTAAAATAGGTACCTAGGTGTTCGTCAGCTGTCACAGGCTGCTTCATGGGGGTGGAGGCCTGGTCGAGGACCAGGCCGCGGGGACACTAAAAAAGTCCCGAAATCATCTCAAGATAACCTCAAGAAGATAACTACGACATAATAGAATTGCAACCAGAAGTTCTACTGAACTTACTTGGATCCTGCAGCCTCTCCGAGACACAAACCAGGATTTAATACAATTCCGCCATGCACTCGAGCTATGTCAATAGGCCGTTCTACCTCCTATTACGTGTTTAACCTATATGTATAGAATTGTGTTGGGTCAAAGGTCACAGTTTTTAAAAGTGTTGATGAACTTTCCAGTCCTGTAGCACAGTGGTCTACGTCCTCGGCTTACAACCGAGGATCCGGGGGTTTAATCCCTTGGTAGGACAGGAAGGTACGTACATTTCCTTTCACCTGATGCCTCTGTTCACCTACCAGTAAATATGTAACCAAGACTTAGTCAATTGTTATGGGTTGCATCCTAGGGACGGTCAGTAACTGACCAAGAGAGACCTTGATAAGCCGAAGTACTGGCTTTCTGTCCCACACAAGCGAATTATTCATACAAAACAATTGTTAAGGAAAGCTTTCAATTCCTCACTTGTCATGGTCTTTATGGGAGCCTCCTGAAGAAACCAGAGCTTGTAACTGTTGCCGGATTTGCACAGAGAACGCCATTTTGCTATGTAGGGAAGAAAATATAATAAATTATACGATACTCATGAACTCCGAGTATGTTATGGACAGACTCCCGCGAGTTGACAACTTTGTCCTTAGCACCAACGGGAGAATGAACGATGACGTCATGAATCTAATGACGTAGGCAGTAAGCACGGCTTGAAAGCACCAATTGTGAATACTAATTAATGATAAATATTGTTCACAATTGTTTTGAACAATGACGAAAGTACTATATCAACGTCCACCCAAACTAGGAGCAATAAATTAAAATGTTCAACTAAACTTCTTTTTTTTTTAATTAGCAAAATTAGGTATACACAGCAATGTACAATACAATACAATACAATACAATTTTATTTAGGTAAGGTACATACATACAATAAATATTTACAAGGATTGTTTGACTTATAGGTATAGCTAGTACATACAATGCCTAAAGCCACTATTACGCAAAGCGTTTCGGGCATTAATGTGCTGCTACCCTATTTTATATGAGATATTATACAGTGTAGATCAAGAACTAGCTATAGGTTTAACTATTATTCCCATTTCACAAGATGGTTAGTCATACATGGAATTGGGGGAGATAATATCTGCCTTAAAACCAACTGTGACTCATCAGTTGGCAATAAGTTTATCCAATATTCCCATCTCACAGGACGGTTAGTCATACATGGAAACAGGGGAGAAAATACCAGCTTCAGTACAAAAACAAATCAACTATGACTAAATATCAGGTAAGGACATAAAATGTAAGGCTGATCTATTAGCCCCCACTAGTAAAATATGGGTACACCACAAGAATATCTTCCAATATTCCTGAATGCATGAATTCCAGAGCTCAAAGTACCTCATACCATTAGGTCTGAAGTCACTTATAACAGAGCAGTCACAGATATAGTGTTAGAGAGTATGTCCCAGCTCTTGTTCACATAGTTCACAATTGGAATGTTCACCATTGAGGGATTCATTACCTGCAGTCACCTGCCATAGATATCTATATCCCAGCCTAATTCTGGCAATTACAATATCACATTATCTAGTGGATGTTTTATGCTGTCTGTACATATAATTCTCCGTTCTAAACATGTCGTAGCTCTTGATACTTGTGCTTTCTAGCCTTTGTGTGTCAGTGACTGCTCTTCTGTCTTCCCTAATTTCCTGAAATATTGCGGCTTATACAGCAGAAATTGGAATACTCATATCCAACTCAACTTCAGGCTTATCACGGCAATTTAAGCTGCCTAGTCTGTGTTATCATGCTGGACAACACCCGTGTGAGATGGTATTCATACAAAGGAGACTCTGAAACTCTTGCACTTTGCATTAATAATGTTGTTTATAATGTATGTTACAACATTTCTAGTGTCTGTTTTGCATGTTGGGGTTTTAAGGGCCTGAAGAGCTGACTTTGAATCACAGAAAATTACTCCTCCACTGTTCTTCAGTGCGTTAATGGCAAGTTGTAGTGCAGTTAATTCTGCATGTGTGGAGCTAAGCCAGTTATTGAGTCTCACACTTGAGGTCTGTGTACATGTTGTCTTTGGATATTATACAGGCTGCTGCAGTGCCACCTGTTCACATTTGAAGAAACCCATCAGTGTAAGCATAGTAGTGCTCGTGAGGCCCTAAGTTATTTAGTACAGGAATCAATGGTTTCAATACAGTATTAAGTTTTAGTCTTTAATGTTTTTCCTGCCTGAAACGCTTTGCGTAATAGTGGCTTTAGGCATTGTATGTACTAGCTCTATCTATAAATCTATCAATTTTTGTAAAACCTCTTGTATGTATGTACTTTACCTGAATAAACATTCATTTATTATTTATTTATAAGTGTTGTTGTTTTTACTTTCCAGCAAGCGTTTTAAGAGGACTTAGCCTTTCTTTAAGCTTAAACTGTACCACACACAGAGATCACACTAACGTGATGCATCAAATGAACAAATCCACAAGGGCCGTGACGAGGATTCGAACCTGCGTCCGGGAGCATCCCAGACACTGCCTTAAACTGTAGTTCACTTACAATGTCACTATTAATATTCACACCGAGGTATTTGATTTGCCTGCAGTTTTCAATGTGCTGATCATTGACTTTAAAAACAGGAAGATTATTGATTTTTTGGGGGGGCATAAGGTCCTGGTTTTTACCTGTGGAGACGATAGGCCCACATTCAATACATTTATTTGCAGGTGTATCAAGGATTGTCTGCAGCTGGTTGTCACTGTTTGCAATGATGCAAATGTCGTCTGCATAGCAGATGACAGCCTCATCGACTTGTGTAGGTATGTCAGCTATTAGTCTATGCATCAGCACATTGAAAAGCTTAGGACTGAAGCTTCCTCCCTGAGGTGTGCCCAACTCAAAGGAGGCATTATTACTCTTAACTCTTATAGATCACTGCGGCAATTATGTTACTCAACCCCTAATCCATTTCAACATATCTTCCCTGACATCAAAACTAAATTAACTAAACTAACATCAAAAAAGCTAGTTACTCTAGGATGAGTTCCCTATTAGCTGTGCCAAAAGCAGCTTGGAGGTCAAGAAAGGCTACGGGAGTGTTTGGTTCCTGTCTGATGAAGTACTCAGCAAAGCAAGACTGTGTACTTCTCCCAGGGAGAAACCCATGCAAGTTAGAAGTGAGTTGACTTTTGATTTTTCAACATTAGCCCACTGAGAACAATCCTCTCAAGGACCTTGCACATGCAAGAAGTTAAAAATATCGGCCTAAATTTGTTCGAGTTTGGCTTAGGTACAGGGTTTATGAGGCTATTTTGTACAGGAGTATTAGGTATGTCTGCAAGAAGCCTCAGGGTCCTGCTGTACGTTATGCCTTCGTCTCGAGGAGAAGTTGCTCTGTCCTTCTTAAGTGCAATTTCAAGCTCAAATAGAGAAATGTCATAAGCATCATCTACGCCCATCACAGCATAGTACATTGACATGCACTATTATGACGTCATTTCTATTCTCCACTTGGTGCTCAGGAAGTAGTAACTTCGCAAGCCGCGCACCTTTGAGGTCTCTGAAGTGATATGTCTCATATTTTTTAGGTTTAAATAATATATTTTATCTTCATTGTGTATATTTTTTATATCTCTCTAGTAATTTGGGAAACGTTATTTTATGCCAATATTTGTGCTCGGAAATTAAATCTCAGTTAATTTACTATACTTATCAAAACATAAACATGGGAGCGAAAAACTATATTAACTTTTTAGCATTTGGGCAAGATAAATGTAACATTAGAAATTATTTCAAATATATTATACTCAAAGTTAATTTAGTAAGTTTTCTATGTAAAATATGAAGGGCAAATATTTATATAAAAATAGAAAAGAAAAGTCACGATGGATTTCTTATCGCAGATTACAGTCCTGTCACTACAAATAAATTTAATATAAAAATATTTCTCTCTCATAATTTCCTACGAGTTGATCCTGCGAGTAGATGTGTAGTTGAGTTGTGTAATAGTGAAGGAAGGTGGACCGGGAGCTCAATGTTTTGAGCGGAAGTTGATGGCTTGAATGGTGATGGCGGGAGTGGAGTTTAATATGCCAGGTATACTGCACCACTAGGGTACATGTGTCGCTAACCCCCGTATGGTACGGCGGTGGGACTGGAGGAGGAGGCGTGGAGGACATGTGGCGTGTGTAGCGTGTGTGGGGAGAGGGTGGGCGAGGTGTGGGCGGGGGTGAGAGTGGTGGGTGTGGGAGGAGGTGGCAGCGGGGCCGGGCTGCGCACACCATCACACCAACTCCAGGCTAATGGTGGGGCGCTGAGTTTGAACACCCTCGCCATGCCTCACGATAACCCCGGTAAGCGCCCTCCTCTCGCCCCCGGCGCCCGTCTCTGCCCTCCTCCCTCCCCACCTTGACCACACGTGAAGGGACAGTGGAGGAAGGAGGTGGTTTAGGGCCAGAGTTGGGGCGGTGGAGGCCCCTGCGAGGCGCCCCCTCCGCCTCACTCCAAACCTAAAATAGTGATAATCAATGAAAACAAACCTCTTTATATACGTATTTTTAGACCCGGGGATGGTGCAGGGTGTGTAGGAGTGTGGTGAGAGAATGTCTGCAGCAGGAGGTGCGGGGGGAGGGCGGTGCAGGCGTGCGAGGAGCCCCCAGGAGGGTAGGAAATAAGGGTGATATAGGGTGGGTGTAGTTAGGGTGTCTCTTGGTACTGGGGACATGTAGGGTAGAATGGTAGATGGGTAGGTGGTCCCCACTAGTTTCTGTGGTACCTGGGAGGTGGTGGGCATGAGCTCCATGAAGAGCCATACATAGACATTCAGGCCATTAAAGTAGCCTGCTCTGAGCACTCTAATTTGTTCAAAGTAAAAGTGCAGGCCACTCGGGACACTCGATGAAGAGCACCCTGTGCGAGCCGGCGGGGCTAGTTAGCAGTTCGGAGCGTGACAGTAAGCACCAGGCGGTGTACCGTCAGTCCGGAACTGAGATCCAACTACGAGCTTTTTAACCCCAACAACCTTAATATACGCTATTGGAACTGGAATTGGGCACCCCCAGGTACCTGGGAGTGGATGACAGGTGTGTGTGAGGTAGGGTTTGTCTAATGAAAGTAGCTGGGAGGTGGAGGGCAGGTTCGAGATCGGGAGGTCCTGTCGTGGGCCTTAATATCTTGGGAGTTGTAGACGTGAGGTTGGGCCTTGGGGGACCCTGCTGTAGACCTCTGTATTTGTAGGTGTAATGTAGGCACGCACGAGGGTGGGAGTGGGCAGCTCTATTGTGCGTTTCGGAATATGGATGTAGGGCAGTTAATTGTGAAGTGGAGGAGCGGACGGCCCTCGGTGCTTGGCGGTGTAGTTCATCTTGGTGTCAGGGGCTAGGCTAATGTTGCAACTTATTGCAAAGGTTTTTCTGTGACATTGTGTTTTAGGTAGAGGAATTTTAAGTGTCAGTGTGTGCAAGGTGCTTGTCTGTGAAGGATTTGATGTCACAAATAACAAGAAATTAACATAATTCCTGTCAGATGGTATCATCTATGTATAAGATGCAGTAGGCATAAAATTTTTAACAAATGAAATCAGTTAATTTCATGAACTTTTGTTATAATTACCTAAGTGTAGTTACAGAATGAGAGCAACGCTTGTGGTGTCCCATCTTCCTAGTACTCTTTGTCTTATAACACTTTGAAACTACTGACGGTTTTGGCCTCCACCACCACCTCACTTGTTCCAACTGTCTACCACCCTTTTGCTCCTAAGATTTTTTTGTGAGACTGCTGTAAATGATCTAAGGTTCGAAACTAATGTATACCCAGTTGCTCGTGCTAGTATTGTAATAACATTAATAGTACCCTTAAGGGAGTATGGTCGTAAACTTCCATTTCACAGTCATTTCATAAAATACTAATTTTGACTAGAGTTTGCATTAATAATTTTGTTTACGGTATCCTGTACCCAAGGCAGCCTGTATGCTGCGCGCTATCCAACTGTATGTGACTGATTAGGTCTGGAAATTTGAATGCTAATTTTGTGCTGCATGAACCGATCTGTACTGTTTTAGTATGTTGCCAGGTCATCTTTATTTGGGTTATCGAGGCTTCGGGAATTGTTCTAGAATTTAATAGAGGTTGCCTATGTACAGTAACTGTTATTAACGTGTTATTAACAATGTCTTATCATGTACAGTATATTTATAATTAGTATCTGTATAATACTTAATACACACGTATACTAATTAATATGTAGTACAGTACTTAATTTTATTAATGATTCTTGGGTAGCATAATTGTGTGATGTTGATACTGTATCTTCCCCATTGTGAAGATGTGGTAGTTTGAAAAGGGTTGGCAGCTTCACTCCGTGGTTGAGCCGAGTTGTAATCTACAAAGCATTTTGGTAGGATTTGTCCATAGGAGTGTTTCTCTTTAAATAAGTTTTTGTCATGTATCCCTTGGATATTAAAATTAATGGCTTATAGTAAAGTAATTTACAACTGATACTTCGTACTTTATAGTACAATACTTGTTGTTTACAATCTGCTATAGTGTTTTCTAGTTAAACTATTGTCTATTTGCTTATGGATATGGGGTTGTAGCCTATCTTGAGTTTATCTTGAGATGATTTCGGGGCTTTAGTGTCCCCGCGGCCCGGTCCTCGACCAGGCCTCCACCCCCAGGAAGCAGCCCGTGACAGCTGACTAACTCCCAGGTACCTATTTACTGCTAGGTAACAGGGGCATTCAGGGTGAAAGAAACTTTGCCCATTTGTTTCTGCCTCGTGCGGGAATCGAACCCGCGCCACAGAATTACGAGTCCTGCGCGCTATCCACCAGGCTACGAGGCCCCCTCAAGTACTTGGCCTAATTAAGTACTTGGCAACAAACCTCTTGCTTGCAGGCGATAAGTCACAATAACGTGGCTAAAGTATGTTGACCAGACCACACACTAGAAGGTGAAGGGACGACGACGTTTCGATCCGTCCTGGACCATTCTCAAGTCGATTGCACAATTGACTTGAGAATGGTCCAGGACGGACCGAAACGTTGTCGTCCCTTCACCTTCTAGTGTGTGGTCTGGTCAACAAACCTCTTGCTTGAATACTTAGACAGCACCAAAACCGAAAAAGTATGTATGATTACATGACTTCTAAAAATAGGATTTTTGCAGTTTTTGATGGTACAGTAGTTGGATATGACAAATTTGAATGCATACTTTTTAGACGAGAAAGTTTAGGGCGATTCAGAAGCCATGTAAATACTGTACTTTTATTCTCGTATCTATTGACATTGTCTTTCATTTGTTAATGTAACCAACATATATAATATTGGTTGAAATTTTAGTATATGTTGTCTGGATTATGTTGAGCATTGTTTGAGAGATTAGTTACAGTACTGTATCTGAATTATATATACAGGTACAGTAACTTGATTTAAATGTATGTTGAAATAAGAATAATGCACAGTAAATAATATATATATACAGTACTGTACACTACATAAATTAGTTGTACAGAAGAGTACTATAAATCAAAGTAGTGATATGTACTTACTTCAAAGTACAAAGTAGTTAAGTACTGTACAGTATGAGCAGTTCAAGTAAAGAATAAAACTTCTTCATTATTTTTCTATAATCTATGTAGATATATAGATATACAGTATCTACTTAATCTATGAAGGATGGAATTTAATAATAAGTTTGCAAATTTTTATATATAAGCTTCAAGCTATCACATTTTAGGTGACAAAAATATTCTGAGATTCAGTGTACAGTAATTGAAGAAATTACAGAAATATGTTTTAATAATAAAAAATGAGGGAGTCATTTAGATTTGAAAAGGCTTCGTAAGGTAGTGCATAGCCAGAGATCTATCGCACAAATCCACAAGGGCCATGACGAGGATTCGAACCTACGTCCGAGATGCATTATTTGATGCATTTGATGCATCACTATTGTGATTTCTGTGTGTAACAGAGATCTATCAGTCAAGGAATACTAGCAGTCTTCAAAATGTCTGATTTAATGTTCATCATTATCTGTGACAAATACTGTAAATGTCTGGATTACATATTGTAGAGCAGTCGGCCGCTATCTCAGGCCCATACATGTGAACTCTCGCTTGGGAGGTTATACTGTAACTCTGAAAATGTTAGATTCTCACGCTCACAAAATTAATAAAATCCTCCCAACTTTTTTCAGAACTCCAGACTTCAATTTTTTGTGAGTATAATTTTAACATGCAGACAATCATTGCTGTTTTGTTTGATATGGTATTCTTGAAAAGAATTGGTTATTGTAGTGTAAATGAACAAATATTTTTCAATAAATACAAAAATAGCAATTATATTTTTAATATAGCCTATGACACTAAAAAATTTGATAATGAATAATCAGATATTATATCTGCAATTCTTATTGCATGTAGAAAATTTAATTAATTTATATCTCCATATTTTTAACAAAATTCTTTCCTGAAAAATTTATGTAAACTCTACAGAGAGTAAGTGACAATAGCATGGTTGAAAGTTAGGCACCCAACTACTTATAAAAAGAATGTAAAGTGTCGATCCTTTGTTCCGTCATGGACTGAAACGGTCACTTTGCTTTCTTTTCATGTGTGTGGGTTGGGTGTCTGCAAACTCTATAATAATAATAATAATAATAATAATATTTATTTAGGTAAAGGTACATACATAAAGAGATTTTACAAAGTTTGTTGGCTTTATAGATAGAGCTAGTACATACAATGCCTAAAGCCACTATTACGCAAAGCGTTTCGGGCGTTTCTCTATTTTATCCTCAATGAGGTGAGGAGATTCTGGGGGTTAGAGATCAATTTAAAACTGGAAAAGTCTTGCCAGATAGCAAAAAGGGCAACAAAACAAACAAATGCATGTAAAAAAATCATAACCTGGCCAAAAAATCATTATTATGGATAAATTTCTGCCTGCCACCTCATTCATGAGATGCCCAAATCGAAAACAACTCCAGGGAAGAGAACAGGGTGAGGACAAAGAGCTACTGAGGGACCCACCGAAAAGAGGCATTTCATTATATTCTATGCGAGAACCTTCAACACTCCCTGAATGTGAAATCCCCCCAAAACAAAAATTTTGAGAAATTAAATCTTTGCAGCCCCACAGGTAAAGGAACAGAGCAAGTCCCACTGGTTTAAGTAATAGACCACTGAGGTACAATCACAGTCAAGACATATCACCTCCCCGTTTTTATTTACCAGGTGGGACTTGGCATTCATTGAGTTCAAATGAATAGCTGCCTGGCTGCAATACCAGCTGCTCACTTCTTCCACGGTCTTTCAAAGCATATTTTGATCCCAGACAGGTATTGGCTTTCACCAAAGACTATGCCATTTAATTTGGCAGCAATTTTTGTTTTCTATTTACCTAGATCTCATTCCAACAAGGCTTCTGGGAGGTGTGTGCGCGTGACAACCACGAACATCTAGCGCACATGGTTGTTATTCATTTTTCTCCTTATCTTTTGCAACTGCGACACTGCTATGTAGATAGCAACACACCAGGAATGCTACAGTGGCCTGATGTGAATTTTCATTGAGGTTTAGGTTATCATGGTGGACTCTGTCTCATTTATTTGATGGTCTTTCTTCTTGGGTATGCCATTTGTCTCAAACAAACTGTAAGATGCCATTTTTTTTTAATTGGGCCAGATTCCCATGGCCTTGACTTTGACCATGCTTATTGTGTTCCAGGAGGCTTTGTGTGCTCTGTTCAATTTGTCTGTTTTTGGTGTTCTATGGTAGAGTCAAGAGTTGTCCTATATACACAGAAATCACAATAGTGATACATCAATGAACAAATCCACAAGGGCCGTGATGAGGGTTTGAACCTACTCCCGGTTGCAATTCTTTTAACCATGTCGTGACGCAATCGACAACCCTAGGGCACATCTGGGATCATCTCGGACGCAGGTTTGAACCCTCATTGTGAATTTGTTCAAGAGTTGTCCTCTTGTTATACTCTGATGTTTCTCCTTTCCTGGCTTCTTCTTGCATCCAGGAAGTTCATCACTAAATGATCCTTATTTTAGCATCAATTCATCTCGAGTTCATAGTTATGTTTACTTAGGACTCCTTTCTTGTGTTCCTACATAGTCAGTCTTTCTTTTCCGTTATTTTGTAGTTTGTATAGGCCGAATTATTGTTCGGAGTGTGTCTAGGCTTCTCTCCGTTCTTTGCATGTGGATTGTCTGGAGAGTTTTGATGGAAAAGATTCTCTTCTAGTCATGCATGCATTCACATTCAGTTAAGTGGTGCGTGATGTTCTTCTTTAGGTTTTAAGTTTTACTCTGATGACGGTTAGTAGCTTTCCCTGGGTAGCTTAGGGCTCGCTTGCTCTCTTGTTAAACCTTCCCTATTTCATCATACTATTGTTATGGTTAATGGCTTTATTCAGCCCTTTGTAGCAATGGGGAACAACATGTGCCAGAGGACAGGGCCTTTCCCCTTCAGCATTCTTCAGGCACACTTCTACAGTAAAGGCAAGTTTCCTCCAGTGTTTTCATTTGGTACTTTTCCCTTTAACCGATTCTTACCTCGAGGAGCAACCACGTGTAGTGGTTCATAAATAATGGTTTGAGGAAATAGAAAAAGCTCCTCTCTGTGGGAAGCATTTGGTTGCTCTGTCCCCCTTTTTATCACTTATTTTCCCATGCGTAGGAAACAACTCTATTCATAGAGTTGTTTTATTATGAAAGGATATAGGGAAAATGGAATTGTAGAACCCTGATGTGGCGTTAGTGACCTGGTGGAAGTCCGCTGGTAAACCTTGTTAGAGAAAGTTCTCCTTGGAGGTCACTTATGATGCAAATAAGGAGCTGGAGGAGTCTAAAAGTAGTCATTTCAAGCAAAATGGATTGTTTCAGTGCCTCTTTGGCATTATTATAACATTGCAGGGCTGTTTGGAAGATTCTCTGCATCAGCTGTGCAGTATGTTGCCCTGATTGTCTTGATGCAATCAAATGGATGTAGAGGAATCTTACCTTGGGCAACAACTAAAAGTTTTAATGAGAAAGACGCTTTTCATATTCACTCAAAGCCTTTTTCTGGGGGGGAGCCCCTGCAGCTTCCCGGAGCTATCCAGGCTGATATGGATACTACACCTATTAGACTGGAATCAGTCAACGTGCATAGAGTTCTAGGCCTACCGGGGACCACGAGCCAGAACCTGGCCCCCTCAGAGAGGCACGAGGAGCAATGGCCTATAGAAACCCCCCCTGTGTGGTTGGAAGCATTCTATGTCTATCATCAACCAGGTCAGGTACCCAGAAAGGTAAGCGCCTCAAAACAAACCCCTATTCTGGTTAACGTTACTACTGAAAGCCGAACAAGTGGACAGAACTCCCCAAATGAAAACGAGCATGATGTCACCACGTCGCCACGCCGCTGTCTGTGCATCCCCCTCTCCCCAGGAGGGGGAAGGGGGAGCCTCAGACCCTCGCGCTGGCCAGCCACACCCAAGTTCTTCGGCTGATGTGATTGGCAACGGTCGTATGTCTCTGGCTCCTGTTTTCCTGTCTCCAGCTATGTCCCTACTAGGTTCGTTATGAGGTTCCAGAGTCATCCTGACTTGCAGACTGCCCCTTTTTCTCGTTGGAGGCATGGCATTTGTTCTGTTGGTCCTGCATGCTTGAATGGCGTGAGGCTCAAATGGTGGTTCAGGTTTTACTGGAGGGCGAGTTTGAGCACCTCAGTGTGTGCTTGTTCGCCTCTGCCCTTTCCCGAGATGTCAATGTGGAGCAGCTTCACGTGCAGGTCCCTTCCCTTTCGGCTTCGTTGATCGCTGAGGACTTGCACGCCTGTGGCCTGTTGGCTTTGGCCTTGTGATTCTTATCCCTTCTCGAACTGTCCTCGTACTGGCTTGAGGAGGATGTGGAGGCGCTTGGGGCCGCTCCTGGGTCTGGTGCATTGGCCTCGGTGGTGCAAGCATCGTTTACACTTTTGAAGCTGTTTGGGCAGATCCTGCGGGATGCAGTGTCGCTGTTTTTTTGCTTCTCATCTCGCGTGTTGGCAAACGATGCTTGCTTCTTCTGTGAAATCCACTTGGGCCCCTGGCTCTTAGGCTTTCTTTGCTTTTTGCCCGTTGCTATTTGCAGAGTCTCCGGTTGTGCAGTATCTGCAAGGCAGCTTCGTCTAGTTGTCGTCCTATATCGAACTTGTTGGTTCTCTGGGGGGCCCCGTGGGGGGTCTTCCCGGAAGGGTCGTGCCAGGGCTCGAGGTTCCTCCTGTCGTGGTGGGCCAGTGGTAACAGTTTCGGTGCTGGCGCTGCCTTTGGACCCATCTTCGTCAGGTCGGCACGGTGATCATTCTGTGCCAAGGTTGGGTTCCATAAGGGGCGTTGACCCTTTCGCGGTTTGTCCCATTGACGGGGCGATGGGGGGGGGGGGGTGAAAGATTGCCATGTTTGCTCAAGCCTGGTCCCATGATTTGTGGGCCTTTCTGGTCGTTTCGTGCCACCTGTGGTGGTGGTGTGTGGCCCTTCCTCCTTTGGGGAGTTCAGGGTTGGCAGGGCAGGCTGCTTCTTCTATGCTCAGTCATGTCATCTCTTAGAGGGTTTGCTTGGGTGTGGTCGAAACGACCTCGTCCCTCAGGTGGGTTTCCCCGCCTGTTTCCGGTTCCGAAACAAGACTACGCAAATCTCAGGTTCATTCTGGACTTGTTCCGTCTGAACCCGTGGGTTTCTTGCCCCTCCTTTTGGATGACTACTCTGTCCCAGGTCTATCTTCAGTTGGAGCCGGATGCTTGGATGGTGTCCCTGGACCTTAAGGGCACTTATTGGCACGTCCCGATTCATCTGGGGTTCAGGGACTGGCTCGGTTTTGTTGTGGGGTGTCAGGGTTACTGCTTTTGTTGCCTTCTGTTCGGCTTGAATCTGGGACCTCGCATTTTCACAAGCCTTACCCTAGTCTTGGTGGCCCGTCTGCTTCTTTTAGGTGTTCGGGTTCTGGCCTACCTCGACGACTGACTGGTGTGGGCTCCTAGCCAGGGAGCCCACACCAGGCTTTGTTCTGCGTGTGCTCACCAGGGATTTGGTTCTTTCCCAGCTCGTCGGGTTCGGGTTCCTAATGAACTGGAGGAAGTCCCATCTGATTCCCTCTCAGGTTCAGGTCTTGGCAGGGTCTTGTGTGGGACGCTCGGATTGCTTCATTGTCTCTCCCTCCAGAGGCTCTGCTTCGGCTGCGGT